CAACCACTTAGGTTCGCCCCCCTCCGCAGTCATAACCAGCATCCCCCGCTTTATGTGCTGCCCTTGTCCGGCCAGTCCCAGCTTCTGTGCTAGCCGTTTCCCCAGCATCACGCTCTGTGCCCCTGTATCTACGATCGCAGTCTTTGCTATCTCCCCTCCCACAGTCACTGTCCCTGCTTCTGCCACCAGTACCGTTGCTTGGCTGGCTAGTCGGTCCTTGGGATGCCTGGCTGGCTCCTCATCCCCTTCACTCTCTTCTTCCGTTTTCTGTTTCGGTCTTCCTCTCTCCTTCACTATGTGTTCCTTCCTCCCATCCTTGCCCCCGCTCCTCAGACCCATCTCTTCTCGGCAGCGCACTGCTAAAAAGGTGTGTTCTGGCAACCGTTCTTCCTCCTCCCTTTCCTCCTCTTCCTCCTCTCTTGCATACAAGCCCGCTTCCTTCTCCTTCTTGCCTCCCATCGCCTGCAACCGCGCTTGCAGCTTCTCGATCTGGTTTGCTATGTCCTCTTGTGACCTTCTCGGTCCACCCGTCTTCTGATAGCAGTCTTTCTGCTGATGCCCCCTTTTTCCGCACACTTCACAGATAGGCGCATCAGGGCACTCCCGCCGGCGGTGGCCTGGTTTGCCACATGTGTCACAGTTCTTGGAGTTCATCTTCACGTGCCCTGGCTGTCTACACCTGTAGCACGTCCTAGTATCTGTCCTCCTCTCCTGCCGCTGTTCCTCTCCGCTTCCTGCCCCTGGTATCATCGCGGCTGCCCAGGTGGGTCGTTTCTTCTCCGCTGCTTTGGGCAGGTATGCCTCATAGCGCCTCTGTGCCAGCTCCACCTTGTCTGCCAGCTCAAATACTTCTTCCAGCGTTGCCTCCGCCCCTAACTCGTAGACCCTCATCCTCAGCCCTCCTGCTAACCCATCATCCAGCCCCGCCAGGAACTTGCTGATCAGCATACTGGTGTCCGTGCACACCACATCTTCGGCCAGGTTCATGAGTTGCCCATAGTATGTTAACAATGACTTGTCCTTCTTGCGTCTGAAGTCTTGAAACTCCCTGATCCGGTCCGCTGTATGCCCGGGAAACTGCTTGCGTATCCGCGCCAGAAACAATGCTGTCGGGTCATCTCCATCTTCCTCCGCCCTTCTCAGCCACTCTTGCATTTTCATGCGATACAAAGTCTCTGCTTCCCCTCCCAATGTGTTGGGCAGACTAAGGAAGAAGTCGATGGGGTCCATCCCCCCACGATCACACCGATACTTGACATTCCGAATCTGCATCAGATAATTCTTCAGGTTAGTGCCCGTCACTTCATTTCCCGTGAAGCGCACTGGCACCTCCACCCTAGGCGGCGCCTGCGTGCCCCATCTCCCTGTGTCCCAGGTCCCTATCACTCCACGCTCCGTATGGCTACCTTCTCTTCTGCGCTCCCTCATTCCTCTGCTGCCTGCGCTAGCTCTGTACAACACCCTTTCTATTCCCTCCCTTGCGGCTCTAGCCCCGCTGGATCCCTCTCCTGTCTGCCATGGCCTCCTTGAGCTCCTTGGACTCGGACTCCCTCTCTGCTCCCCTTCCCACGCCTCCTTCCACTTGCCTTCTTCCCCCCTTCTCCTTTCCTTCCTCTCAGGCGAGTATTCCTGACCTCGCCTATCTCGCTCTACCCTGTCCTGCCGCTGCTGGTCTTCTCGCTTCCTCTCTTCTGCCCCCGAAGCATGTAGTGATCCTCGCCTGTCCTCCCTGCGGTACCCCTCTTTGTGCTCTCTTCCCTTCTGCATTGAGTCCCACCCCTCTTCTTCACCATCGCTACGCTCTCCCTCCCTCGACAGCCCCAAACCTCACCAGTCACCCCTCGCCACGCGCCGCCTGCGCTCATACTTCTCCCTCGGCTCGGGCGAGCGGAATGCTCCAGTGGGCCCCTGACAACTCCCCTCTCTTCCTAGAGGCTCCCTGGTATGACGTTCACCTCTCCCACTCCTGTCGTGCTTCAACTCATATTCATACTGCCCTGCAGTTACGCGCTCTTCCTTCCTCCCTCCCCCTTTCTCGTTACCTGTTTCTTCGCAACGCCGTCGCCTGTCTCCATCGTTCCTTTCCTCTCTGTGCCACCCATCACCCCGTGCAGCTCCAGGCCCTTCCTTGGTGGCGTCACGTCTTCCGTCTCCCCGCATCATTGGGAACACTTCGTCTTCGGCGTCGTTGCGCCTTCCACTGCCCCGCGCAGTGGGGGGTCCCTCGCCTTTGGCGCTGTCGCGCGTTCCGCCTCCCCGCGCAGTGGGGGGTCCCTCGCCTTCGGCGCCGCCGCGCCTTCCACCTCCCCGCGCAGTGGGGGATTCTCCGCCTTCGTCACCGTCGCACGTTCCGCCTCCCCGCGCAGTAGGGGATTCGCCTTCGTCACTGTCACGCGTTCCGCCTCCCCGCGCAGTAGGGGATTCGCCTTCGTCACCGTCGCGCGTTCCGCCTCCCTGCGCAGTGGGGGATTCTTCGCCTTCGTCTCCGTCGCGCCTTCCACCACCCCGCGCAATGGGGGATCCTTCGCCTTCAGTCTCTTCTCGATCACTGCTGCCCCGCGCGACTGGGGCTTCTTCAATTTCTTCCTCCCCATCGTCATCGCTCGCCGAGTCCATCTCCACGTCGTTGTCGCGACGCCTTCCATCCATTCCGCGCCGGCATCCTGCCAGATCCCACGGATCGCTGGTCGCGGGCCGCCTCCCGGGCTCCGATCTGACGTGCAGATCCGCTCCGCGTCCTCCAGTGCGCACGCCCACTGGCGTCACCAGATCTGCGCGATATGCCGCCCTCCTTGGCGAGCGCATCGGCGACCTCCCTCACTCCCTTGAGCACCTTCCCCGCGACGGAGAACGTTCTCACCGCGAATACGTTCGCTGCATGCGCAGCTCATGGCGACCCATGCCGCCGGCTCCTTCTCTCGTTTGTGAGAAGTCCTGACTCCCACACAATGGCTACCCCGAGTGGCCTTGTCACCTAGCAGCAGTAGCTTAGAACGGTAACTTGCATCCACTGTAACAAGTAGACAAACGAGAGAACAAGTCTGGCTCTGCTAGGCTAGACTACTAGTACTTGCTTTCCCTGTCGCGAATTATTCAGGGGCTGGGCTTGCACTGGAGTCGCCTGGGCTCTGGTTGGCCCTCGCCGATTTCCTGTCTCCCTAGGCCTCAAATTCTCCCAACATGCGCTTCGCAATCTTCTGAGTCACCAACTTCGCGTGATTCCCCAAGTCCTCAACTACCACTCCAATACCCTGCATAACAACTTGTACACCACCTACACCCCCCATAGCTCTGAACGAAATATGCTGCAACTTACCAATATGTTTCATGACACTGGAGTGTTGGTTTTCTGGATGGGTAGGCTGGTTAGCAGGTTAACTGGTTGGCTGCTTTGCTGCTTTACTACTCGGCAGCTTGTTTGATTCGCTTATTGGCTGGTGGCTGCAGCATCAGGCCATTTCTGCACTGCAAATCCTGCGCAATCTGTGCCTGCCAATCCGCGCAATCTGCACAATCTAACTCTCCTTCCTGCCAGTCCCTGCCATCCACTCTTTTGCACGAGAAGGGTTTGCCTGTCTCATGGGTTCTTGGTGGTGGTTTTTTTCTGTATGTGCATGCATGCTGCATGCACCGCATGTTCAGTGCCCTGCATTTCCATGCTCTCATCCCTGCACGGGGTGCCTGGCATGGCACAACACCTGAAGGACACTCCGTCCTGCTTGGGTGTTTGTGCCCAGGCAGGCACCTTCCAGGCTGCCCACCCCACCCACCTATTCCACAACAGGCAGGCCCATCCCATCCCAGCACAGCACAGCGCAACACACCTAAACAAACCTACCACAGCTAAGCACAGATGAGCAAAGCAAAGCACAGCAGTGGTCGAATTTGAGCTCTTGGTGGTGCATGCACCAGCAAGTGGCAGCCCACATGCTGATGGCCTAACAGCTAAGCACAGATGAGCAAAGACAAGCACAGCAGTGGTCGAATTTGAGCTCTTAGGCTTTTAGTCTCAGGTTTAGGCTTAGTCTTAGGCTTTTAGGCTGAGGCTTAGGCTTAGGCTTTTAGGCTTAGGCTTAGGCTTAGGCTTGACTTAGGCTTAGGCTTAGGCTTAGGCTCTTAGGCTTAGGCTTAGTCTTAGGCTTTTAGGCTGAGGCTTAGGCTTTGGCTTAGGCTTTTAGGCTTAGGCTTAGGTTTAGGCTTAGGCTTGACTTAGGCTTAGGCTCTTAGGCTTAGGCTTAGGCTTTTAGGCTTAGGCTTAAGCTTAGGCTTTTAGGCTGAGGCTTAGGCTTAGGCTTAGGCTTTAGGCTTTGGCTTAGGCTTAGACTTAAGCTTTTAGGCTTAGGCTTAGGCTTGGGCTTAGGCTTAGGCTTAGGTTAGGCTCTTAGGCTTAGGCTTAGGCTTAGGCACTTAGGCTTAGGCTTAGGCTTAGGCTTAAGCTTTAGGCTTAGGCTTAGGCTTTAGGCTTAGGCTTAGGCTTAGGTTTAGGCTTAGGCTTAGGTTTAGGCTTAGGCTTAGGCTTTTAGGCTGAGGCTTAGGCTTAAGCTTAGGCTTAGGCTCTTAGGCTTAGGCTCTTAGGCTTAGGCTTAGGCTTAGGCTTAGGCTCTTAGGCTTAGGCTCTTAGGCTTAGGCTTAGGCTTAAGTTTTGGCTTAGGCTTTAGGCTGTGCTTTGCTTTGCTCATCTGTGCTAAGTGGCAGCCCACCAGGCTGCTAGGCTGCTAAACTGCTAGGCTGCTAGGCTGTTAGGCTGCTAGGCTTGTTAGGCTGCTAGGCTGTTAGGCTGCTAGGCTTGTTAGGCTGCTAGGCTGTTAGGCTGCTAGGCTGTTAGGCTGCTAGGCTTGTTAGGCTGCTAGGTTGTTAGGCTGCTAGGCTTGTTAGGCTGCTAGGCTGTTAGGCTGCTAGGCTTGTTAGGCTGCTAGGCTGTTAGGCTGCTAGGATGTTAGGCTGCTAGGCTGTTAGGCTGCTAGGCTGTTAGGCTGCTAGGCTGTTAGGCTGCTAGGCTGTTAGGCTGCTAGGCTGGAGCAATCCGCCACACTCCAGAGCTTGAAGGCTGAGAGGAACACTCCTAGCCATGCACACACGCACACGCACACATGCACGCCCCCACCCCCCTTCCCCCCATCCCCCCTTCTCCCCACACGCACATGAACAGTACCCGTCCACTCGCTGCCATTCCCGTCCGTCTCGCAGGACGTGAAGGACACACACGCATGGGGAGAGAGAGAGACAGGCACACATACGAGGCACAACAAGGGAGGGTTAGAAGCAGCGGGGAGGGGAGTGGCGGAAGCAAGGGCAACAGACACGACTCTTGCCTCTGCGCGGCGACACCCTACGACTCACTTCACGGCCCCCCTGCAAGCACCCCCTGGCACGTACCACGCTCCGTCTGCCACTCGCCCACGCCTGCGCCATGCCTTCACTTGAGGCGTCCCCGTGCTGCCATTGCTCTCCGTGTCACAGGCCACCAGGCACACACACATGGGGAGAGAGACACACACACGCATGGGGAGAGAGATACACACACACATGGGGAGAGAGACACACACACTCATGGGGGGAGAGATACACACACACATGGGGGGAGAGATACACACAGAAGCAGCAAAGAAGGGCACAAGAGGGAAGGAGAATGGCGAAGTGGCATGCCAGTTGATCTGGTCCACTCACAAGTACTTGTGTGCAGTTGTGAGTGGACAACTCATCCCGCACTTGCTGCATTCACTCGTGATCCCTGCGTTCTGCATCCACCCCCCCTTTGAGTGCTGGAGAGAGGGGAGGAAGGATGGAGAGAGAAAGAGACGAGAGGAACTTGAAGAGTGGCGTGAGCAAGGAGAGGAGAAGCGAGTGGATGAGAGGTTGAGGATGTGAAAGAGTGTTGACATGCCAGCTGGAAAGAGCATTGACATGCCAGAAAAAATGGTAAATGGCAGCAATAGACGGGGCTGAGACAAGACGCAACGGAGAATGCATTCGCCCTGCTGCTGCATCCTCACTCTTGGTTACCTCTTGTCTTGGAGAAGCAAGCAATGGATGTTGTTCACAACGCACTCCACGGCTCGGAGCCTGAGAGACGCACTCACAGGCATGCACACGCACACAAGGACAGGCACCGCCCCCCCAACCCACCCCTACTCTCCCCCTCCCAACCCCCCCTTTCCACCCCTCCCCCCACCTCCTCACGATCATGGGGAGAGAAATCGCACACACAGAAGCGGCAAGGGAGGGTTAGGAGCAACAGGAGAGGAGGCGAGTGGCAGAAACAAGAACAGAGACACGACTCTTGCCTCTGCGCGGCGCTTCATGGCCCCCCTGCAAGCACCCCCTGGCACGTACCACGTTCCTTCCGCTGCTCTCCCAGTTTTGCGCCACGCCTTCACTTGAGGCGTCCCTGTGCTGCCATTGCTCTCCGTCTCACAGGCCACAATGCACACACACACACACACACACACACACACACACACACACACACACACACACACACACACACACACACACACACACGAGAAGAGAGAGAGACACACACACGGGGGGAGAGAGACACACATATGGGGGGAGAGAGACACACACACATAGAAGAAGGTTAGAAGCAGCAGGTGGCGAGTGGTGGACCCGCAAGCAACAGACACGACTCTTGCCTCTGCGCGGCGACACCCTATGACAGTTCACGCCCCCCCTGCAAGCACCCCCTGGCACGTACCATGCTCATTTAGTTGCTCTCGCACTCCTTCGCCACACCTTCACTTCACGCGTGCTGCTCCAGGTGTGGTGCTCGGCGTGGTGCTCCAGGCGTGGTGCTCCTTGCGTGCTGCTCCAGGTGTGGTGCTCCAGGCATGGTGCTCCAGGCGTGGTGCTCCAGGCGTGGTGCTCCTTGCGTGCTGCTCCAGGTGTGGTGCTCCAGGCATGGTGCTCCAGGCGTGGTGCTCCAGGTCAGCTGGTTGGTCTGATGGACTCACAAGTCCTGGTGTGCTGGCCTGCCCATCACCCTGGCCATGAAGGGGGGAGAGCGAGGCGAGGGGATCATGATAACTGCATACAGTAAGACAAGAGAACGAGCCAAGCCACATAGACAAGTGTCGGAGTGTGTGACCCTCACCAGCACTTGCTCTTCTTCCTGTTGTTCTTCTTCAACACTCCCTGCTCTGTGCTGCCCTGCCTCAGTCACTCACTGGTGATCACTGCGTTGCTGCAGCCACTGGTGATCACTGCCCCTTGAGTGCTGGAGGTGAGGAGAGGAAGGAAGGCAAGGAAGAGGAAGCGAGGCCTGAGCAAGAAGAGACAAGCGAGTGGATGAGATGGCAGACGAAGGCTGGAGAAGGGACTGAGAAAGAATGCCATGCATGGTGCATCTGAACTCCCGGTTACCTCTTGACTGGAAGAAACTTAGATGGAGAATCAAGGCGCCGTTTCTCCTTGCTGGATGGTTGCCTCTCGTCCATTCCCCGTCCGCTCCCTCCCCCTCTGTCTCGCAGGCCGTGAGGAACACACACGCACGAGGAAAGAGACAGCCGCACAGAAGCGATGCAACACGGGAGGGTTAGAAGCAGCAGGAGAGGAGGCGAGTGGCGGATTCAAAAGCAAGAGACACGACTCTTGCCTCTGCGCGGCGACGCCCTACAACTCACTTCACGCCCCCCCACCAAGCACCCCCTGGCACATACCATGCTCCGTGTGCCACCCTGCCGCTCTGCCTGCAGCACGCCTTCTCTGCTAGCGTGCTACTCCAGGCTGCTCTCTTGCTGCTGCGCCAAGCCTTTGCTCCAAGCAGCGCCCTGCCACTGCCCGTGCTCCTGGTTGCTCCGTTGCCGCTGCTGCTACTGCTGCAGTCGTTGCTGTCGCAACCACCGGTCGCTGCAGAGAGAAGGAGATGACAGGAGAGGGGTTAGGGAGGTGAGGAGAGTGGCACGAACATCTGACGGCACCGCGCTGGACAGACTCATTGCACGTGGACAAATGGTAGACAGAAGAGAACGGAACATGGAAAGCAGGAAGATGGTGAAAAGTGAAGTGGTGAAGTGCTTGACCTGATCCACCCACAACCTCCTGTGTGCCCTGATCCTCCCTCCCCCCTTTCTGTGCCATCATCCTGCAGTCGCTGCAGCCACTGGTGATCCCCGCTGCCACTCGCTGACACCCCCCTCCGCCTCGCAGGACATGAGGCACACACACACATGGACAGAGAGACACACACAGAAGCGGCACAACAAGGGAGGATTAGGAGCAGCAGGAGAGGAGGCGAGTGACAGAAACAAGAACAAGAGACACGACTCTTGCCTCTGCGCGGCGACGCTCTACGATACACGGCCCCCCTGCAAGCACCCCCTGGCACGTACCACGCCTGCACCATGCCTTCACTTGAGGCGTGCTGCTCCAGGTTGCTCCCCTTTCTCCCCTTCCTCCTCGCAGGACAGTGGTCTCTCGTGCAAGCCAGCAACGGCAGCCGTGTCGATTCCCCGTCCACTTGCTGCCACTCCCGTCCGCCTTGCAGGCCATGAGGCACACACACGCACGCACGGGGAGAGGGACACGCACACACACACACAGGCGGTGCAACAAGTGATGGTCAGTAGCAGCAGGAGGCGAGTGGCGGAAGAAAGGGCAACAGACACGACTCTTGCCTCTGCGCGGCGACGCTCTATGACTCACTATACTGGCCCCCTGCAAGCACCCCTTGGCACGTACCATGATCCGTCCAGTGCTCTCCCATTACTGCGCCACAATTTCACTACAAACGTGCTGCTCCAGTCCAGGTCGTCTCCCGTGCGAGCCACAACGGAAGCCCGTCCATTCGCCTTAGACTCGCAGGCCGTGAGGCACACACACGCATGGGAGAGAGACAGACACAAACACAGAAACGGTGCAGAAAGAAAGGGTTAGAAGCAGCAACAGGAGAGTGGTGGAGGCAAGGCAACAGACACGACTCTTGCCTCTGCGCGGCGACACCCTACGACTCTCTTTGATGCCCCCCTGCAAGCACCCCCTGGCACCTACCACGCTCCGCCCGCCACTCTGCTGCTCCTGCGCCACGCCCTCAATTCACTTGAGCTGTGCTGCTCCAGGTTGCTCGGTTGCTGCTACTGCTACTGCAGTCGTTGCTCGGCGCCGTTCGTCACGGCCGCCGCCGCGTCTCTGCCTTCGATGTGCCAATGTCCTCTCCACTCCATGCAATTCCGGATCCATTCCGCGTCCATTCCGCGTCCATTCCGCGTCCATTCCGTGCCATTCACCTCACTCTCACAGGCCGTAAGGTACACACACGCAGGGGAAGAGCGACACGCACACAGAACGGCGCAACAAGGGAGAGTTAGAAGCAGGAGGAAGGAGACGAATGGTGAAGACAAGGAAAACGGACGACTCTTGCCTCTGCGCGGCGACTCCCTATGAGACTTCACTGCCCCCCGCAAGCACCCCCTGGCACGTACCATGCTCCGTCCACCACTCTCCCACTCATGTACCCCGCCTTCACTTCAGGCGAGCCAGCAACTCCCGTCCATTCCGTGCCCACTCCGCGCCATTCCGCGTCCACTCCGCGCCATTCCGCGTCCACTCCGCGCCATTCCGCGTCCACTCCGCGCCATTCCGCGTCCACTCCGCGCCATTCCGCGTCCACTCCGCGCCATTCCGCGTCCACTCCGCGCCATTCCGCGTCCACTCCGCGCCATTCCGCGTCCACTCCGCGCCACTCCGCGTCCACTCCGCGTCCACTCCGCGTCCATTCCGCGCCATTCCGCGTCCACTCCGCGCCATTCCGCGTCCACTCCGCGCCATTCCGCGTCCACTCCGCGCCACTCCGCGCCACTTCGCGCCATTCCGCGTCCACTCCGCGCCACTCTGCGTCCACTCCGCGCCATTCCGCGTCCACTCCGCGCCATTCCGCGTCCACTCCGCGCCATTCGCGTCCACTCCGCGCCATTCCGCGTCCACTCCGCGCCATTCCGCGTCCACTCCGTGCCATTCCGCAGGCCGTGAGGCACACAAAGGCATGGGGAGAGAAAACACGCACACAAAAAGGAAGGGTTATTGTCAGCAGGAGAGGAGGCGTGTGGTGGAGGCAAGGGCACGAGACACGACTCTTGCCTCTGCGCGGCGACGCTCTAGGACTCACTACACTTCCCCCCAGCAAGCTTCCCTGGCACGTACCATGTGCCTGTCGCTCCCATAAACCGCTCTTTTGCTCCTGCGCCACGCTTTCATATGAGTCGTCACGCCTGGCTGCTCGGTCGTTGCTCCCGTCTCGTCGTGACCAGCTCTGCGTGTCGCCCAGTTGCCCGTGTTCAACTAATCGCTGCACCTGCTGCTGTTGAAGACGTTGCTCCCGTCTCGTCGTGACCAGCACTGTCGTTGCCTCTGACGCTCGTTGCTCCAGTTTGCTCGGTTGCTGCTGCGCCACGTGTTCCAAGCAGCATGCTGCTGCTTCCCGTGTTCCAGGTTGATCCGTCGCTGCTCATGCTGCTGCTGCAGCAGTCGTTGCTCTCGTCTCGTCGCGGTCAGAGCAACGCCGGTCTCATACGACAGTACCATTGTGTTTACAGCGAAAGCAGCAGGTACGTCGCTTTGTTCGCGGAAATGGCATCAACTTTGGCTTGACGACGAAAAGAGCAGCACCGTCGCTTTGACGGAAAAAAACTACAGCTATGTATGAGACGTCAGCTATGTTCAAAGCGTCAGCTATGTTTAGAGCGTCAGCTATGCTTGAAACGTCAGCTATGTTCTAAACGTCAGCTATGTTTAAAACGTCAGCTATGTTTGAAACGTCAGCTAGTTTAAAACGTCAGCTATGTTAAAAACGTCAGCTTCAAAACAACTACGCCCTAAACGTCGCTTTGGACGCCGGAAACCGTAGTTGAAGTTGTTATGACGGCAGCAACAGCAGCGACGTCACTTTGTCGGCAGCAGCTAAACTTCGATAGCTATAGCAGTGACGACGCCTTTTTTCTGGTAAATTTCGATACCTATATAACGGGCACGTCGTTTTAATTAACTGCAGCGACGCTGAATAACGTCTGAACTAGCAGCTTAGCGTCGTATTAGCCTTGACTCGGTATCAGCTTAGCTACTTCACAACGTCCTAACCATATTCGGCTTAGAAAGACATAGATTCATTGATTGGCAGACCGAGTCGCGTCTAAACCGAAATCGTTAGGTTAGTGCAGGTATGCAAGTGAAGTTAGGGCTAGTGCGACCAGCATCTCACGTAGCTGGACCTGGAGTTAAGAGCGAAGCCTGAAAGATCTGCTGGTGAAGCCATGGAGGCGAAAAACGGAGGTGAGGAGATGCCTTGAGACTCCCTTGCTTCAAGTGGTGGCAGCAGTGCGGCTGAATTCTGGTGAGTAGAAATGCCGTGATTGATGCTGCAAGAGAATCGAAAGCGAAAGGAGGAGAGGTGCGTTGGCTTGGGAAGTGCGTTGGTTTGGGAGGTGCCTGAGTTGAGAGGGATGGAATGAGATGTTCGGACGGATGAGGAGGTGAAAGAAATTGCTGGCTCAAGGACACCTGGTGTCAGACACGACACCTCTGACAACTTTTGAAGAGAGTTGGCGGCAAAGTCGAGGCGCAGGGTTTTCATAACATTCTAAAGATCAATTATTAAAACTAGGAACACCTTGGAGATTTAAGCAAATCTATGCATAAATGCATTATTGCATATCCACACTGCAAAACTTAAAATGTCACTGGATTGACGTAGCCTGGGACACATTTGATTGAATAAATCACAACAACATTTTTCCATTACGATCAATTCCCGAACATATGAAAAGGAATGAAAGAAAAATGGCTCCACCACATCATTTCAGTCATATGAATTGTGTTGGGCTGAGGATTTCAGCCTTAGGATCTTTGCAGAGAATAGGCTAGTAGGTGCTAGAGTAGCACAGCGGAAGTCTTTTGAGTGAATGTACTTGTGCTGGTATGTGAGAACAAGTAATTGATTAAAGCAAAGAGCATACAGGAATATATAGGAAATATAGATTACAGGAAGCGGTTATGTTTATCGAGACGCGTAACGCTTCGACTATCGAGGCGGTTACTGTTCACTGAAGCGTCGCTTGCTGTTACGTAACCTCCAGGTGGTTACAGCTCGCAACCTCTAGTTGCGGTTTGATGTGGTACGCGCCTTTTTCGACTTCATACTCCTTTTGTTGTGCTTCAGTATCGGGTGAGGTTCGATACTACAGAAACGCACTAAGTCATGCGTTTATATTCCCAACACTCCCCTTCGTTTCTGGAGTGTCGACGTGGTTAGCTTCGGTGACGTGGCCCAATCCGGTGAGCAGCATGCAGTACTCGAATTTCTCCTTTGGTAGCTTCTTGGTGAGATAATCTGCTGCCATCTCGGTGGTCGGGCAGTAGTCCAGCTGGAGCTTTCCCTTCTCAATTTCGTCTTTCACGAAGAAGTGTCGCAGTGCGATATGCTTGGTTCTGTTGGCAAAGCCATTCTTGTTCGCGATCCGTATCGCGGACTGGTTGTCGCAGAAAAGCGAGAAGCTGGGTACTTTCGCAATTTTCGCTTCTTCCAGCAGTTCGCGCAGGTACAGACCTTCCTTGGTAGCGGTGCGGAGAGCAATATACTCTGCTTCAGCAGATGATAGTGCGACGAGTTCCTGCTTACTTGATTGCCAAGAGATAGTTCCGACGGGCTCGAGACGGTAGATGTAGCCGGTGCGAGAGCGACGATCGACACGATCAGCAACATGATCAGCGTCGACGTGTCAAAGTAATAGGCTAAGTTGAAAGGAAGGGCCTAGGCTTAGTAGCCTAGGCCCGTACATAGGTATCGAGCGGGTTTTGCCCTAGGCGAGGTGTCGAGTAAGTTGAGAGAGGAATTGGTGAAAAAGGGATGGTTTCACTATAGGTTCAAGGGTACATATAGCATAGAAACCAAATAAGGTGCACCACCAACAACAGTTTAAATAACTACACTAACTACAACTACAAGCAGTTATAAAACATGACAATATATTTCGACACGCCCCCATAATGCTTGTAGGTAGATATGTAGTTACAGCATAGCAAGCAACAGCAGGTACCCCTTCCATCTCCTCACCCTCCTCCTTCCCCTCCCCCACACTGCTGCAGAGCAGCAGAGAAGGGGGGGAAGTGAGGAGTGGTGGAGGGACGGCTGCATGTTGCCTCACACCCGCCACCCCGGTACCACTCCCCCTGCTCCCCCACATCCTCACACCCTCCCCCCCCCAGCGGCAGCTGCAGCGGTGGGACTGAAAGAAGGAGGAGGGGAAGGGAGAGAGGTGACCCAACACTCCAACACCCTCCACCCCCATACCCTCCTCCCCACGGCTGCAGGGAGACAAAGGAAGAAGGGGGGTGGGAAGGAAGAAAGCCGCAGAGCGGCGAAAAGGTCTCGGTGCAGATTGGTCAGGGGCGGCTTCAGGGAGAGCAGGGGCGGAAAGGCCCGTCGCGTGCCAGTGCCACGGGGCGCACGACGGGTAGAAGAATAAAAAGGGCCCGATCGTGCGCCTAGGGGCGCACGACGAGCAAGGCACCATCGTGTGCCACGGGGCGCACGATGGGCAGATGAAGGGCACCGTCGCGTGCCACGGGGCGCGCGACGGGCAGAGTAGGAGCCACACACCCGTGGGCGGGACTAAGTAAAAATCGTCACGCGCCCTAGGCGCGCGACCGAAAAATCATCGCGGAAGCGTAAGGCGGGCCCACAGGCCAGGTCGTAAAAAGCTCCGATTCCATGTCAAAGTAATAGGCTAAGTTGAAAGGAAGGGCCTAGGCTTAGTAGCCTAGGCCCGTACATAGGTATCGAGCGGGTTTTGCCCTAGGCGAGGTGTCGAGTAAGTTGAGAGAGGAATTGGTGAAAAAGGGATGGTTTCACTATAGGTTCAAGGGTACATATAGCATAGAAACCAAATAAGGTGCACCACCAACAACAGTTTAAATAACTACACTAACTACAACTACAAGCAGTTATAAAACATGACAATATATTTCGACACGCCCCCATAATGCTTGTAGGTAGATATGTAGTTACAGCATAGCAAGCAACAGCAGGTACCCCTTCCATCTCCTCACCCTCCTCCTTCCCCTCCCCCACACTGCTGCAGAGCAGCAGAGAAGGGGGGGAAGTGAGGAGTGGTGGAGGGACGGCTGCATGTTGCCTCACACCCGCCACCCCGGTACCACTCCCCCTGCTCCCCCACATCCTCACACCCTCCCCCCCCCAGCGGCAGCTGCAGCGGTGGGACTGAAAGAAGGAGGAGGGGAAGGGAGAGAGGTGACCCAACACTCCAACACCCTCCACCCCCATACCCTCCTCCCCACGGCTGCAGGGAGACAAAGGAAGAAGGGGGGTGGGAAGGAAGAAAGCCGCAGAGCGGCGAAAAGGTCTCGGTGCAGATTGGTCAGGGGCGGCTTCAGGGAGAGCAGGGGCGGAAAGGCCCGTCGCGTGCCAGTGCCACGGGGCGCACGACGGGTAGAAGAGTAAAAAGGGCCCGATCGTGCGCCTAGGGGCGCACGACGAGCAAGGCACCATCGTGTGCCACGGGGCGCACGATGGGCAGATGAAGGGCACCGTCGCGTGCCACGGGGCGCGCGACGGGCAGAGTAGGAGCCACACACCCGTGGGCGGGACTAAGTAAAAATCGTCACGCGCCCTAGGCGCGCGACCGAAAAATCATCGCGGAAGCGTAAGGCGGGCCCACAGGCCAGGTCGTAAAAAGCTCCGATTCCATGTCAAAGTAATAGGCTAAGTTGAAAGGAAGGGCCTAGGCTTAGTAGCCTAGGCCCGTACATAGGTATCGAGCAGGTTTTGCCCTAGGCGAGGTGTCGAGTAAGTTGAGAGAGGAATTCGTGAAAAAGGGATGGTTTCACTATAGGTTCAAGGGTACATATAGCATAGAAACCAAATAAGGTGCACCACCAACAACAGTTTAAATAACTACACTA